ACATATAATGTGAAACCTCACCTTCTATGAATCAGGTATCTTAAACCACAAAGTATCCTCAAAGAATCATGTCTGCCATCATTGTTCCCTAATTGAGCCAGAGAACAAAATTCTCTTGAAAACTGATTATAGGAATTTTTAATATAAAAGGTGTTGTTCCATGATGTGTTGTTTCTAAAGCTATCAAATGATTAATTTTTAAAACCAATTAATCACACACCTTGGCGATTAATCGCTCAATCATGTTCCAATATCATCCAAAAAATATATAGTCTGCACATTCAGTATAGAAATATAACAAGTCTTAAAGACAATAATGAATTATGCCTTTATCAGTGTTGCATGGATCAAGTAAAGCAGCTATCTCTTAAAAGCATCTCAATACACCATATCCACCAAGAGACTTTTTTTCTAGGTTTATGACACTGTTTAGGAATTTTTAAAAAAATCTACTGTAGATCTACTGATCTAAAACCAAATTTGGCAAATGGCTCCTGCTAAACATTGAAAGCACACTTAACTTAAAAGATCCTTGTTTTAAAGTATTAGCCTTGGGGCAGGGGTGTCGAACTCCAGTCCTGGGGGGCCGGAGCCCTGTGTAGCTTAGTTCTTTCCCTGTTCCACCACAAATGATTCAGCTCAAGAGGTGTGTTAAATGAGGGGAAACCCAAAAATGTGCAGGACTCCGGCCTTCCAGGAGTGGAGTTTGACACCTGTGCCTAAGGGTGACCAGATAATCTATATCAAGGAGAACGCTTTGAGCTAGAACAAGGTTTGTAAACTACTATTTCAATTAAAAGGACCTGGATTTGACCTAAGCACTGAGTTCTTGTAGTGTGCTGATTGGTCAGTCTCCTATAATCATGAATGTGTCACTTCTGTTAGTGAGAAACAGCTGGATGAGTCTTTCAATCAAGGAAACAAACCAGTCAATGAACAAAAACAACTGAATTACTTAAGCAGAGGAGCCTTTCAGTTTTAATGTAGTTCGTAAAACCTGAAGCAGATCAAAGCATGGATTTTTTCAAAAGAAATGAACCAAGTTAACAATGTCTTCTCACCTTTCCCCTATATCAGTGTCTGCATGAGACTGAATGTCTTGATTTTAGTTGTTAATTCTGATATTCTGTGTAACCTCACAACCAAAGCTCTCCAAAGCTCTCCTGATTTTCTTACAACCACAGTGTAAGAAAAAAGGATGCAGCTCTGGTACAGTTTAGTTCCTCAAGGTACAAACAACATTAATGGACCCCCCATGGTACAAAAATGTTCCTTAGAGTCCATTTCTGTACCATGAATTAGAGGAAAAAGTACATTTACCTACAGCTACGGTACACCTGCACATCCTGGAGAGTACCGCCCCAGTGACAAGTAATTGTACCTTCAAAGGTACAAATTGAAACTTTTTCTGAAATTGTTGGAATGAATACTACAGGTTTCTATCAAAATGTAGGGTACCAAAATTAATGCATAATGCTGACATGTTAAATTGTTAACTTTGACAGCCCTACTTCTTTCTATTAAGAATTACCAAATGTTGTAACACATGAAAGGGCTTTGAAAATGTCCGAGATACACCACATTTAGCCTTTTCTTCATTAATCTAAATAAGCATCGAAATTACAATTTCGACTATGGTGCCAAGCTGTACCGTGAACTGACAGTTTTCCACTGTCAACTCTGAGAGCCGTACCTGAGCTGACATGGTCCTGCTTACTATCAGGGCCAAAAGCGAGACAAAATTGGGCTGGCTGCATCACCGCCATCTGATTGGTCGAAATGCAGGGAGATACCGGTATTCTGTCTCGATATGCATGGATCATCTGAAAGAAAAAAGGACATATTCTATATGTAATTCATTCTCAGTATCACACATCACAATGTTTTCATGCATTCCCGATAACTTGCAACTTGAAAATTTCCAGCCACCTACTTAAAAATTACTACAGAACAGCTCATAATGCCAATTCCACTAGCGTTTCATGCCAACATAAGACTCTCAATGCCAACTGCCAACTTGCCAGTGGAAATTAGCACATAGTAAATCATGATGTACACCATGTGAACAGTAAATAAGCATCTCTTCAGTTTTATGTCACTGTCACTTGCCAAACCCAGCAACGCCTTTACCGTGCTGAGCCTGCTACAGTGGAAAACCGAAGCGAGTATGGCTTGGGTACTGCTTGGTTCCTGTATGCCAGTGGAAAAGTGCCAAATGACTACCTGGGCATAGACAGTACTCAGTACTTTCCTGTTGTTGCAGCTCATAATTAGGACTTGTGTTATATACTTATTAGACTGGGTGAGCACAGATAGTTAGTCGATGTTAAACTCTTCTCTTCCTAGCTCTCTGGCATCATTTCTGACTTGGGTTTGTTCAGCGGGCTCCTAAAAAGCCAGACAAACAGGGAATAATTAGGGACAGATAAGATAACTTAGACTGTATCGCATTACACAGCTATGAGCACCACTGTTAATTCTAACCACAATATCACTACCAAATTACTCTCTATCAAAAATGAAATATGTTGTGAACATTTTGTCACTTACATTTCAATCTTTGATGATGAAAACTGATTTAAAAATGGAAAGGATGAAAAATACCTTTTCATTCCATTTACTCCATCACCTCAATATAAACAATTCCACTTGTTGCTTCAAAACCGCTTCATAAAATGGCTTTGGGAGCAAAATCAGGATAAATATTAATAACAAAAAGGCTGCATCTAGCAACACTTAGGTTTCACGGCCCTGATGGAAAAGGAACACTGGTGGAGCACACGTCAGGGGGATATGGAGTTGCATTACATCTTATTAAACAGACAGTCCTTTGTTAGTGCTATATTCCTTGGTGACACAGAGAAAGAAGTGAGACCCAGTGAGATTTCTATCAGCAGTTGGGCTCAGACCCTGGGGATTGGCTTACTGGCCCGAGACAGCCAGGCGCCCAGGAGAGCTCATCCCATCCCCTCTACCTTTACTAACCAGCATCTCATCATGTGAGGCCCTGTTTGTGAATGCTGGAATCAGTGTGGCTGATCTCCGGTGGTACAAAGCAGAATTACAAGCACAGATTCAATTTAGACAGAAACACTGACTTAATTGAATGAACACTCTTGCTGTTATGAAAAGATCATTTATACTGTGAAAAATGACCATAAATGCAGGTTTGTATGATATGTAGTAGATTTCTGTTGACACAACAAAGGACCACTTACACAAAGCTCTCTATGGGGGGGTTTTCCATTTAATACAACACAAACAGGAACAGGTACACACTCTCATTTGCATGGATTTACATAACATTTGGAAAATTAAATGAAATAGGAAACAAAATACAATTAAACAAACTTCTTGATTTTGATGAAACTTGGCAGGTGTATTACACATTCCTTCTCAGCTCAGAAACGTTTTTATTAAAAAATTAATTGTTCCGTTTGAGGTTAAAGCACTTCAATTTCTCCATAATATTATTGACAGGTGCTACATGCAGTGCCCTCCCGAATTATTGGCAGCCCTTGTAAAGGTTTGTAAAAAGGGTTAGAAAAAATCCACCTTTAGTAGCTTCATCTCACACTGAAAAAATGAGAAAAATCCGTTTCTTTAAAATAAATTTAATCAAAGAAAAAGAAATCTGTCATCAATAAATAATTATTTTTAACAAAAACATATGTGCCAGAATTATTGGCACCCCTGGAAGTTATAGTGAACACAATGTAACTGAAGCATGTTTCCGCTGTAGATTGTACATCTTTGAGTTGATTGGAGTGAATAGGAACCTTCAAGCTGTAATCCATGACTTCCTGATTAACTGGGGTACAAACATGAGGAGACACAGAGCCCAAATTCCCTTAATCATCCATCAACATGGGAAAGATAAGAGAACATACAAACCAAACGAAGGAAAAGTGTGCTGACCTTTGTAAGTCAGAATGGGTATGAAAATAGAGCTACTCGCCTGAAAATGCTCATTTTTACTGTTGGGGCAATAATAAAAAAAGTGGGCTACAACTGGAACGGTTACAAAACTGGAAGGGGACCCAAGTTTATTTTGCCCCCATATACAGTGAGGAGGATCGTAAGAGAGCCAAAAAATCCCAAGGATCAGTGTTGGTGAATTACAAGACAAAGTAAAATCTTGGGGTTACCACGTCTCTAAACCCACCATCCGACGCCTCCCTCATGCTAACAGATTATTTGGAAGGTATGACAGAAAGAAGCCATGCCTGTCAGTTAACCACAAAGTGCCTGGAGTCTGCAAAATGCTACAACTTTGACTGGAACCCTGTTCTGTGATCTGATGAAACAAAAATTAAGCTTTTTGGTAATAAACATTCGAGGTGGGTTTGGTGTAAAAAGAAGGATGGCTGTAATGAAAAGTAAAAATATGGTGGAGGTTCTGGATGCTGTGGGGTTGTCTTTCCTCCAAAGGCCCCGGAAACCTTCTCAGGGTCCACGGACTCCATGACATACCAGGACATTTTAAATCAGAATTTGGCCGCCTCTGCTCAGAAACTAAAACTGGGCCGTCACTGGATCTTCCAGTAGGACTGTGATCCTAAGCACATGGTTAGCTGACCGCAGGATCAAGCTTCTGCCGTGGCCATCTCAGTCCCCTGACCTGCACCCCACTGTAAACCTGTGGGCTGAGCTGAAGAGGAGAGTGCAGAAGAGAGGGCCGAGGACTCTGGGTGATCTGGAGAGATTCTGTACAGAGGAATGGACTCAGATGCCCTCCAACCTTATAAAATGTTATAGGAGAAGACTTAGTGCTGTTATACTGGCAAAGGGAGGCTGTACAAAGCATTAAATGCTGGGGTGCCAATAATTGTGGCACATGTGTTTTTGTTGAAAATAATTATTTCTTGATGAAGGATTTGTTTGTCTTTGAATAAATTGATTTCGATGAAAGGTTGGATTTTTCTCATTTTTTCAGTGCAAGATGAAGCTACTTCACCAGAAGGTGGATTTTTTCTAACCCTTTTCAGATGTCTTCACAAGGGGTGCCAACAATCGCAAAGGGCACTGCATGGAATGGCTGTGATTTATATACCTGCGGTTTAATGCAACAGGGGCAGGAACATGTGGACACCCTCCGTCATGTAGAATGAGTTAGGCTGAATGCTTTTCAACGTGAATCCCAGCCCCCTGCTGCATTTTTTCAGCCGTATGAATAGCTACGATTCCCAAAGTACTGTGACAAGCGAAAGACGGCGCTTGAGATGGTGGTACATTCAAAGCAAGCACATTCCTATAGTGTACTTTTGAACCACTGAGTATCATCATAATATCATATTCTTTTATCTACTTAAAAGGTTACTTAATACACGTCAATATACCTTTTTTCTTTCCATCTTGACAACCATTCTGCCAACAAGCAGCTCCAACTGAGAGAATAGTAACCAGAAGTGTCTGTCTCCATGGAGACCGAAAAAGAGCTTCAAGGTACATTAACATTTACAAATAGAACATTACAAACATACTTGTTGTCAAAGAGTCAACTAGACATAAGTGCAGGTAGGCTGAGCTTTCAATGAATACCCAGTTACAAGTCTTAGTATACTGTGATGGGTTGGTGCCCCATCCTGGGTTGTTCCCTGCCTTGTGTCCGTAGCCTCCGGGACAAGCTCCAGAGCCCCGCGACCGTGCACAGGGCAAGCAGTTTTGGAAAATGGATGGCTGGATGGATGGATGGATGAATGGAAGTCTTAATACAGCCTATTAGCAAGAGCTACACACCATCTTCCGACAAAGTAGGAACCTAATCAGATGCTACAGCACGATGATCGGGAATTTAAAAGGAAATATAAAAGAATAAAGAAAATAAACAAAAATATAAATATACTTCTTTACTACAGCTTTAGCAAAAAGCGCTGAAATGGTTTGTACAAAATATTTGCAAGGTAAATTTCAAATCAACTCTCCTGTTAATTAAAAAACACAATACTAGAAACACTAGAAATTTTTGGCCCCCAACCCTGACCAATCCAATGTTTTTTTCAAATTTTTTTACCTATCAGTCATGGGCCCTTGGAACCTTGGAATCGTCCTAACTACTAGCCCCCCCCCAACACCCCCCGCCCCTTACAGCGTCCCCGCTTGCAGTCTACGTGCGTGTGGTCTCTGGGGCAATAGCAGTGCCCTGATGTGGCTTGGAGCTCATGAACTGCAAGCCCAGTCGTTGCTCCAACATGATTTATCATCCTTGTGTGACTCCCGGTGTGCAGGACAGGTTATTCAAAGGTGCTGGGTTATTTGCACTGCTTGAAGGGGGATATTATTTATTACGCAAATAAACTGCAAACAGGATTGTGTTTCTTCTGCCCTGGGACATGGGAGTCTCTCATTATCTCTTCATCTTTTCCTTTATTTTTTTCCTGCTCTCATTTCTTTCTGTTCCTCGATCTCCTTTGCATTTCATTCTGTCATTCTTCAACTCTAATAAAAACATCATTACGATCTTTGTACCTCTTTCTTTATTTTGCCCAAACAATGCCACTTGATACACGCTTGAGGTTTTATCTGCTGGAACCAACCAACCTGGCTGAGCCTGCATGTGTGAAGCATCTCTCAGGTCTCAAGAAGGAGCCTTTGTCTTTCTTTAGGCATGTATCCAGACACCAGTCTTTATCAGCATCTTCTCCCATCTTTTTATTAATGGAAAAAAAAACGTTAAGTGTCAGCCACAGAAAGGCAAGGGAAAGTTCAGGAGGTGCTGATGTCATGTTGGAGTGTAACCGTAGAAGCAGATCAATGAGGTCACTCTCATAGTGATGCTATCAACCCCATCTTGCAGGCTCTTTCACCCTTCTGCAAACACACAGACACAGCAATTCACACTTTGGATATGCCTGCTTTGAAATGTCCTGGTGAATCTACCCTGCATCGGTACCTGCTACCAAGGGCATTCTTATCTGAGCCTTAGATAAGGCGTTTTTGGTGAGCAGACGACAGGCTGAGTAAAGCTCCGAATTCCATGGCAATGTACATGCTAACTGGCGGAGGTAAAAATGTAGAAGTAAGAGATAAAAATGTAGCTGGTAGCACAAGACAGATTATCCACAGACATCCCAGCAAGGAGCTTCATGTTGTACACCAGAATGAAGACAACATACAGTAACGAAAATGTCTTCGAAAAGCTGGATTTGCAGTTCAATTTAATTAAATTTTTTATTTTCTGCCCACTTCATCACTGAATGTAAATTATACGCTTTTGTTGAACAAAAAAAAAAACGAAATACACCGTGATGTTCATTGGGCATAACTGGCTTCCCGCAGTCGTAAGCATTAGACTGGCGATCGAAGAGACACTTAATTACGGAGGTTAAGCCATAATCGCTCTCTGGGGACGCTCAAACAGAGTTTGGGGAAGGGGCGTATTGGAGATTACGGATAACTGACCATCATTAAAATACACAGATACTCATTCACATAAGCAATTAATGTCATTATGAATGTATACATGTAAGGGGGTGCATTAGTCTCTTTATTTTTCTGTGGCTCCATTCAGAAAGTTGCATTTTTAAGCATAACGTATAATACACTTAATCTTTCATATCCTGTGTATAAATAGCATTTACAAAGGAAGTTAATAATGTTACAGTAATGCCTGCTGTCAGACAGTAAGAGTGACAAGCTTTACGGGTTTGTCTGCCTGCCCCTGTACGTCCGACCTCCCGGCTGGGCGCGTCCTTCTGGACTCCTTAATTCCTCCTTCTTTCGTATCACGTATCATATGTCCCGTCTGTCCTTTTCAACAGTTTTCAGTCTCTCTCAACATCTGTTGAGATTCTTTATACTTCTCATTTTGTAGTATGGTTGTATAAAAATGTTTATTTTGTATAACGGCTTAACAGACAAAACAAAAAAAGATAAGAGCGATGTATTATATATATGGTTCAAATGATTATCAGTTTTTGATGGCGGTTAATTAGAAAATGGACGGATATTTTGTATTTTGTGTTATTTTAATGAAGCATGCTCGTTTCCATTCTCCCTTTGTTCTAATTACCCAGACAAACGCCAAATATTTCTACTATTTATTTGGTTTATTTATTTTGCTTACATATTTAATTTCAGGCAGAAATATGCCCTCCCATAGAAATACCAATTGCTATATTTAATTCCACAGAACCGTTAAATAAGTCATTTCCGTCTATGTCTTTTATAACACACTTGTAGTATGAATTTTGCATCTGGGCCATAAAAATCATGCGCGTTTATAAATAAATACGCCATATCAAGATCATTTAAAATTAAAATTCGGTTAATTTCATTGTTAATCTATCAAGTTCATTGTCATTTATGTTTTGGTTTAATCTATGTATTTCAAATCTACAACTGAATTACTTGCGACAGTAAAAACAAGAAATTAAATTACATGTTTGGAAGTTCGTTTTATCACACGAATAAAATCGGCAAATCTGGAAATCATGTGGACACTTAAACTTATAAAATAATTTTACAGTCACATGCCAGTATTAAAGAAAACATCGGTAGCCATATTTTTCTGTAGTCGTACATGTGCAATTTCCATGTTTGGCGCTAAAAATTAACGGCAATTCAAAGGTTTTAAAGCAAAATTCATGTAGATGTTGTATTTGGGCATAAATGAAAAAGAAAAACAATTCCGTTAACATAAGTTTTAAGATTTAAAGATGACTGCTCAAAAAAAAAAACGCTAAATACACCAGCATGCTGAATGATAACCTTAAATTCGGTATCTTTAATGCATATATTTCATTAACGCGAAAAATCTAATATTAATAGCCATTACAATAACGTATAGCATTAATAGCTAGAATTAAAAATGAAATAGTTATATAGACCTAAATGTGTAAGTTTTAACGGACTAATTTTCCCCAAAGTATTTTAAACGCAGTGCATGAGCTATACATACCACCTGAATTTCAGACCACAGGGGAAACAACTGTGAAACAATTTCAACACCAAAACTACGGTTATCGATCATCTTGGATAATATGAGCATATATTACGAACAAAACCAATACAGCACCATTTGCCGGTGATCAAAATTATAGCTTATTTGCTGCAGCGCATGCAACATGTGTTTAAGTTGCTTATGTTGTAAGATTGTTAAAATAACAGGCCTAAAATGCCATACACTATATTTCCACTGAAAATTTAGCTTTTACATGATCACTTTTGATAATAATAATTATTAAACCAATTATATAAGCAATTGAAAAATGATTCTTAAATGCATGGTTAATTTTTAATTAAAGGAAAATGAGAAATTGCTTTCATGACAAAGTTCAACTCTCCTCAACACAAACAGATTACAACCATTACCCTATTTAAACATCGGATTTTCCAGTCACTTAAAGTTGTTCTTAATTTAACCAACGTCTACTTGCCTGATGCAAATATAATTTTTGGGCGTATAAAAGTCTTTAAGTTTATGATATTAACGAACGACATCGAGACATATCCCTGCTTTCACACTTTATATATATAAAATGTGCATTTATATATGTACATTTAATTTTATTTCTATTATCGTTATATTGTAATTATTAGTAGAGCTATTAATAATAATGCTGAAATTAATGCTGAAGATATTAAACGTTAAATCTGAACGTGACAAAATAAAGGCAATGCACACTGTTAGATAAAACAATAGCATTCGTCGTGAAGAAAAGAAAAGAGAACTTGTCAGATTAGGACAGCTGAGCACGTTTTTACAGCCCGTGGGCATAAACGCGTGAAACATAATAGCAGCAAACTCGAAAGGATCCCAGCAGCAAACTCGAAGAATCGACAGTAAGTTATTACAGGGAAGCTTTTCCGTAGTTTTCAAGGAAAAATAGTGTTAAGAGGGCCTGTGGGGCAGTTTTGAGTTAAGTAATTTGGAAACTCGGCACACAGACTCCCGAAGTAATCCGGTGACCCATTCCTACTGGGTAAAAACTGTCCGACTGAAAATGTTTTGGCTTGCAAGGTCTCACCTTGAGAAACTGGACATAGTGGTGCCGGATGGCTCTGGTGTGAGCAGAAATAGCTCGCAGAGCCGGGGAACAGACTTAATGGACAGGGGCTGTGCAGCGACACGGAGCATGGCAAAGCGGATGAGGTGAACGATGTAGCTGAAGCCATGTGGTGGAATCGGGAATTATGCCCCCTTGCAGCAAAAGGGGGGCTCTCCTGGTGGGCATGCAGCAGTCGTTCAGCTCCGGCGGTTGGAGCGCATAGGTGGTGTGAAGATGTGTTTCCGGGATGCGAACCGAAATATGACGAGCCGTAGCTAAGCCCTGAGCCCGAGGGTGGTTGTGCGGACTGTCGGAAAGTTATAAGAGGAGGCCCAGGCCAATAAAAAGACCCAGTGATTGCAAATCCGGCTGGATTAGTGTTGGCCAAGCGAGATCCTCTTTTAAAGGCTAGTTTCGCCCGAGAAGCGGCGTTGGGGCGCCGTCTGAGTTTACCAGTTGCACCGCCAATAAAAACGTCGTCACTCGAAGGGTCCAGCATCCAGTAATTCCCTTTGCCCGGGTCGTCATAGTGTCGAGGCACCTTTACGAAGCACTTATTCAGGCTCAAGTTGTGTCGGATCGAGTTCTGCCAGCCTTGTTTATTGTCGCGGTAATATGGGAAATTGCCCATGATGAATTCGTAGATGCCGTTCAGGGTTAGGCGCCGTTCTGGGCTTTGGCGTATAGCCATCATTATCAGCGCGTTGTAGCTGAATGGAGGCTTCTCAAACTTCATTTTCCCCTCATTTTCGTCCGCCTTGACTTCGCTGCCACCGTCGTTGTTTTTGGCTCCTTTTTCGCCGGCATTCTTCCCGCCGGTCAGCAACTTTTTTTGAAAGTCACATGCTTTTATGTCGTCGGTTTCGTTACCGTTACAGTCATCGTTATGCAGTCCGCACCGGACAAAAACTCCTTTGCTCGCCGGTTCCCGCGGTGAATTAGACTGGAGTTGGGGATCCAAGTTTTTCGAACAGCATTCTTCCATCGCGGCGCCGGTGTCATTTACGACTCCCTCTCGACGAAGCAGGAGGTTGCTGATGCTGAATGCAGGTTTTTGGAAAAACCCATCAGGGCTTTTCATGTCATCCATATCTAACATCAGTACATTTTGCAAATATTAAAAGTCGGAAATTAAAAAGTACCCTACCCGAAAGAAAAAGAACTGAATCCCCGCGTGAATCGTTTCGCACCGATGCAAGAAAAACTCGGAGCACTTTTGAAAAACCTCTCTTCAGGGTCAGATGCCAATCTCACTGACTGATCACTGAACTCCCCGCTGCAATTAAAACACTTCCGAAACCCGTGAAATCCAAGCCTCTCACCTGCGTCTTGCCCGCTGGGACCGCCTTCTTCACTCGTCGTCTTCCTTTTATTTACACAATAACTTGACCAAATTCCAATTACAAACGACTGTGAGAAGAAGTGTTCGAGTGAATGCGCCGATGACTGCGTTCAGCAGTATAAGTAAACAAACAAACGCGTAAGTTAATATAATCACATGACGTCATCTAACCCTAGCAGCGGCTCCAAGCTCTTACATGCGTCTGTCCCGAGGCCACGCGGCTTCCTGCAACAGAGCTGACAGGTGAGCTTGAGGTGTAACTGTTACAGGCATATGTTCTGATTTCCCAATCTTTGATTATTTCGTCTTAGTGTCATTTAGAATCACATCCCACCCACCCCCGCCCCGTAATCCTCAAATGTTGCAAGTGCTTGCTTGCCTGGAATGTTTTAATATGGGAAAGACAGGGCAGCTGCCTTTTTTCTGCAAATCCAAATTAATGGTGTCTTGGATGTAATTATTTTTTTCGTCCTAAATAATCTTTACGCGTATTGGCTTAACTGCAGATATAAAATACGGTCGTTATATATATGCAACTGAAAACGTGTGAAGGAATAATATGGTGTTATTCATGACAATATGAGTTCTGTTAGGAAGGCCTACACGATTATTATTAGATGCGTACGTTCGTTAACTTTTTAAATTGTACTAATGTGGCCTACTGTGCTCAAACCACACGCAATCGTTAAAAGACTCATGAAGGAGAACAGCACTTCTTTCTTAATGAAATGTTCAGACAAAAGAGTGCAGTAGTTTCTGTCGGTGAAATTTATTTATGCCTGTTTAACAGACTTTTTCCTCAGAGCGACGTCAAAGTGAGACAGATAATAGGCTACTTCCAGCTGCGGGCCATATAAGGGAGCCTTTGAGTATACGAAAAATAATTAAATATACGCTCGGAAAACATACATCCATCCGCTCGGTAAATTGTACCATGGGGGACCCCCACTCGGCAACTTCTACTAAGGAGGGGGGTGAGCTACGTCCTAGAATACATCACAATGGTACCAAGGGTGATTTCCAGATGTTTAATATAAGTCTGCAAATCAAAACAAAAATCTGCACGACCATCCACATTACTGAGGACTAAACCAAACATATAAATTGCGCAAATCTCCGGAAATGTCAAAATGCACATTTACGGCATTTGACAGAAGCCCTTAGCCAGAGGGACTTACGTAAGTGCTGCAATGAATATGTCCCAAATGTGTGTACATCCCATGATCTAAAAGTGTCGCAAATTAAGTTACGAGTGACACCACGCCATCTAGTGCACAGATACAACATATGTTCTTACATTTACTATCATTTTCATCATGTAAAAAATGAAAAAATGAAGCCTACATCAGTCCTTAAAATTTGTTTTGATTTAAGAATTGAAGTTGCGTATATAACAGTTTGCCAGGGCATTCAGTGTCTGCCAGGTCTCTGTGCCCTAATAAGGTATATTTCGGATGAAGATGACCAAGATCTACTCCACATTGCAGAAGCTGTCTAGCAGCAGACAGGGCAGCTGAAGTGGGTACTTGATCTGGAACAAATAAAAGGTTTTATATATGTTACCAAAAATAACTATACTGCAGGTAACAATGCGTAAAGACAGAACAAAAAAAATTCTTACTGTTGAAGTCGCCGATGAAAGCAATGCCTATAGAATCATGATTGTTGCCCTTGGTATGAGCTCCGACGACGCCCCAGCCACGGCCTTCAAACACTGAACCGTCCTCGCCAACTAGAAAGCTGAGGTATGGCTAGTCATGTAATGTGCAGCAAAGGCAGTCCGAAGTTAGGAAATGTGTCGCTTTGATATCACAATGCAAAATACACAAGCCATGCAGTGATGAGAGGTGGTGGACAGGAAAATGAGGAACAAGCTGGTGCCCATCATGAACACTGTCTCCCA